CAGGGCAGCCAAAAGGGCAGAGATGGAGGGGGAGATAGGCAGGTGGGGGGAGTTGAAGCACCCGTACAGTTGTAAGTCTAGATGGGCTGCCAAGCACCTGAATTTTGATCATGTGACCGTGGGCGTGCTGTAACTTTGAATGGTTGTTGAAAGAATGGTCGTAACTTGAGGACTATCTGTGGTAAGCTGTGCTTAGTACTGCCTGTGTTTACAGAGTTATGATTTGGATTGGTCATCAAGATGGCGCGCATGTGTGTGTTTATGGCAAAGAACGTTTGCGTTTCTACTGTAGAATAATGGGTTCTTTTTTCTCCTTAGGCTTTTGTTGCCATTGGGGATTACAATGGTCATGTTGGTCTTGGGGTAAAGTGCTCTAAAGAAGTTGCCACTGCCATTCGTGGGGCCATCATCCTGGCAAAACTCTCTATCGTTCCAGTGAGGCGAGGCTATTGGGGAAACAAGATTGGCAAGCCTCATACTGTGCCGTGCAAGGTAACGTTCCTGTTCTGTGGAGCTTTGAATTGGCTTCGTTGCTTTAGTACACGAGCTTCAATTTAACTTGCCTTTTGTAGGTGACAGGCCGGTGTGGGTCCGTCCTGGTTCGCCTGATTCCTGCACCACGTGGCACAGGAATTGTGTCTGCCCCAGTTCCCAAGAAGCTACTGATGATGGCTGGAATCGACGACTGCTACACTTCGGCGAGGGGCTGCACTGCCACGTTGGGCAATTTTGGTATGTCATTGGGTACCTTGAAGTCGATGGCTATAATTTGGGAAATAGCAACCCCCATGCCACAGAATTCTTAGCTTACCAGTAATTTATTTCTGTTTATTTAATAAATTTAGCCGCCCCTCTCACTAAATGTGGCTCTGGGTGGCATACAACCAAGCAATGAAAACAAATATAACAGCCATTAAAGACAATTAAACATAAAGAAAAATCAAGAACATGGGAGAATAAGCAGCATCCTAAGCACAATGCAACCATCTTGCAGGCTCCCCATAGGACCCCCAAGGTGGTTGGAAGAACCATGTTTGCGGTTCTGGTCTGCTTTCTGGGCTATTTTCTCCTTATGCAGGGCTGTTTGTAGTGCATACATCATTCATGCTGGAAAGAAGAGTGCTGTAGTGGAACTTGGTGTCACAATTCTTAGTATTTGGGAGAAGACATAGAATAGAGGTCAGCAGCCTAAAATCCCAGAGCCTTATGCGGCTTCTAGAACAAGGGTTTTCAAAGTTTCTGCAACTGCAGAAGAGTGGGTGACATACACAGCTGCTGGGAGAGGCTGTTCCAGAGGGCACAGGCAGCAACAGAAAAGGCGCGCTTTTTTGATCCCACAAGTTAACAAATTTTAACTGAATGGACCTAGAGTACATTCACTTTGCCCAAATGTACTGGGGATGCAGAAACAATTGGAGACGAGTAGTCCAGCAAATAACCAGGCCCTCTGCCATGAAGGATTTTATAGGTGATGACCAGTACCTTGAATTGCAGCTAGAAGCTGATTGGCAGCCAATACAACTCACATAGCAATGACACACAGGAATAAAGAGAAGTGCCTGGTAACTTCTCGTATCCCTGCATTTTGAATCAGCTATAGCTTCTGGATGATCTTCAAGGGCAGCACCATGTAGACCACATTGTGGTAGTCTAATCACAAGTGACAAAGGCATGAGTGACTATATGAAGGGCTTCCCAGTGGAGGAAAGGGTGCAAGTGGCATGCAAGATGTGGAAAGGCCACAGTTCCTCCTGGCCACAGTTGTCACCTGCTCATTGAGCAGTAGCTGTGAGTCTCAGTTGCACACCAGGCCCAAATGGGGGAGTGCAACTCCATCCAAGACTACTGGTGAAAATGTCTCTGACCCAGGGAGCCCAAACAGCTATATCCACTCAGTCCTTTTCTGGATTGAGCTGATCTCTGTCCCTCCCCGAATACCCTCCAGCCACTGGGTTAGTACATTGACAGCTTCACTTGTGCAGCTTGGGGTTGAGGTGTAGAGTCGAATATCATCTGTGTACTCATAATACCAAACCCTGAGCTGATTGATGACCCTACCCAACAGTTTCACATAGATGTTAGGAGGGGGAAGAGCGACAAGCCCTGAGGCACGCCACACATGGGCTGTGGGCGCTATCTGTCCCCTCTTGTCAACACTGGAAATGACCACTGAGGAAGGAGGCAAACCCTGCAACACAGTACCTCCCACTCCCACCCCCTGCAACCAGTCCAGAGATACCATGGTTGATGGTATCAAGAGCTACTGAGAGAACAAGGAGCACAAGGAAGGATGCACTGCCTCCATCTCAGCTCCACCAGAGGTCAAGTGTGACCAATGCTGTCTCCATTGTATACACTGATCTGAAACGGGTCCAGATGATGTTTCCTCCAAGATCATCTGTAGCTGCCATCCGGCCGTCTCCACAACCTTCTCCACAAAGTGAAGATTGGAAAATGGATGATAGTCGTCCAGAACGGAGGGGTCCAGCAATGGCCTCTTGAGAAGGGGACCACCCCCTCCCTCAAAGAGGATGATACCACTGCATGGATCCTCCCTTCAGCCATCTCTCAGGCCACCTTGACAAACCAAGAGGAACCAGGATCTAACAAATAAGTGGCTGAGCTGACAGATAGTAGCAGACATAACATTTAATGCTGGCACCTGTTACTTGAGCCGTTGAGAATAAAAGTGGCTGGCTGCTCCAGGGACTTATTAAAATAAGTAAAAATTGGCAGATCCCAACCCATAGTCATTACACACCGGTGTTGTTCTTTGGAAATGCTCAGTTCAACTCTCTCCGCTCTGCCCAGTTGCACCTGACTCCAGTGGCGCAACTGTCGTTTTCGAGAGGGAAAGCAAATGAGTTCATATTTGCACGGCAGTGAGTCCGGCTGCAGTGGTCTCTCTGTTCCTTGTCAAACTCAACAGGCTTCAATGTATGAGAGTGCATTATTTGGAAGTGCTGTGGGTCACTAAGGTGACTTCAATTTTTATTTTAGCTAAAGCCACCTTCGATGCCATCTCCAAGACCTACAGTTATTTGACCCCCGATCTCTGGAAAGAAACTGTCTTCACCAAATCTCCATATCAGGTAAGGAAAACGTGGCATGAAGATTAGGGAATACACTCCCGTGGGCTTACTTTTTGCAGAATATGCCTTTCCTTGATGGAGCTGAATGGGCCATACCTGGAGGCTCTTCTTTTATCCTAATAACCCTGTGAGATAAATTGCATTCCCCTCCCCCCCCTCCTGTGTGTGTAATTTATGCAAAAAAATCTACCTTCCCCCCTTTTCTACAGGAGTTCACTGATCATCTGGCAAAGACCCACACCACCAGAGTGTCTGTGCAAAGAACTCAGGCGGCTGCTGTGGCAACCACCTAAAAGATCCTGCATGTTACCAATAAAGTAACCAAGTTAAATTTTAAACCAGCCTAGTACGTGCTGTATTTTTTCCTTGTGATATGGGTTCCTTCTTTTGGGAGAAATGTCACTGCATTCAGGGAAAATGCACCTTGAGTGAGTAAACAATATCATTTGGATCAAGGATTATAATGCTAAAGGAAGGCTTTGGAGGTCTTGTTCAGAAGCTTGTTGTGGTTGTATTGCACTGTATTTTGTTTTGATCGCTGGCGGCAATCTGTTCACAGGAAGTTCGTAAATGATGTAATAGCAGGAATGTTTCAGGTTTTGTTCCCTGTAGCTCAGGGCAAGCCACACAGCCTGTTAACTGGTCGGCTGTTTTCTGGTAGGAAAGAAGAAAGCTAAAGTAGGATTGGCATTGGTAAAAAATCAGAGCTCCTCTCGTGAGAGGTTATCACAGGGCTACTGTATATGGAATTACTACCCAATGGCTTTCCAGCAGATTCTGAGCTGCCATTTTTGGTCCAGAGTGCTCAGTGTATTTGCATTTCCAACCAGCAGACTCTTGGTGTTCCTCCCACTTTCCCATGTGGCTTAACCTAAAGCAGCACATAATCGTATTCTAATGCCCAGTGACAGATCATTAGTTTCAAGCACTATCTGCAGTCATACACTAAAATTCAACACTTACATATTGCAAGGAAAAGAAACTGAAAAGGCTAGATTCAACAAGCTCTTGTAGAAGATACATTCCTTACTTTTTAAAAAGGCACTAAAAAGTTTAATGGTGTAGTGGTTAAGTCTAGTAACCAGGAAGGTGTGAGTTCTAGTCCCGCCTTAGGCATGACTGGGCAGGTGACCTTGGGCCAGTCACACTCTCTTAGCCCTGGGAAGAAGGAAATGGCAAACCAGTTCTGAAAAACTTGCCAAGAGAATTGCAGGGACTAGTCCAGGCAGTCACCAGGAGTCAACACTGACTCCAAGGTATCCCCCTCCCGCAAATTCTAATAGTCTCGCTGGTACTGTGCAAACAGTAGCTTCTTGCCAAATTTAATATTGTAAGTACAGTAAAACTTTATAGGTCATGTCAAGTGTCTCTTAAACCTGGATTTGTCATTTGCACCATGATACAAATGACAAATTTAAGTGAACGGTCTTCGCTGCTTTGGATACAGTGGATTAGAGGTGAGGTACAGCCATATGCAAATAAATTCATTTTAAGTCTGTTAAATTGTAGTTAAATCCACAGCCATTGGGGATGTGCAAAATGTTCTGTGAACAGAGCACTCAGTTTCAAGTGCAGTTTCAGTTTCAAGCCCAGAGACTGAAATGCGAATGCTCCAGAGATGCTGGATGAAGGGGGGAGGGATTAGCTTGGAACTGTTTGGTGATTTGTTGTAATGATCCACTGAGTCAGCCCTACCATGCGAGAATTCAAGAACAGCAGCAGTCACTAAGAAGATGGGCAAGGTGTGCCAGTCTTAACTAGCTCTGCAAGCCCCTTCCAGATTCTGTCTTGGCTGAAAGTTGGAATGGCTAAAGTTCCAGGAAATTCTCTAGCCGATTCCAGAGCCACAATCTTTTCTTTTGCATTCAGCTCGATGAGCCACTAACAAAAGACAGACTTCAGTTCTGCTATGCTGAAACATCTTTGCTTTATACAAAAAAATAAAGGAAATGGTAAGGTTATATATTTATTTGCTTTCCAGCTGAGATGTATTTAAGTCTTATCTTTCAGGGAATTGCACCAGTGCTGTAACTTGATTTCCCATCAACGTGCAGCTCATTCCCTTTCTTGGCTACGCCTCTGCCTTGGCTTGGGCTTTCCTTTCTGCAATCATCCGATGCTTCTGCTTCATTAAGCACCTGCGAGCAGTTCCATAAGCACCTAGTTCATCATCTAGGATAATAAAATTACGTACATTTAAACAAAAGTAACACAACTGCTTACACTATATCTGCTAAAAAGGTTGCTGCGCAGTGACTCAGCCAAGCAAGGATCTACTTTTCTTAAAGGCCAGAGTTCTCCCTCGGATTCCTTTCTGTCTCACTAGGCTTGAACACTAACTAGAAAATGCAAAGCAACTTTACAAGAAAGGAAGCTCACTGCTGAAGGGAATACTTGGGGACATTTCTCTTTTCTATGGATTTTTTTTCTTTTTGCTCCTTAAAAAACAATCTCCCATGGATTACAATTCATTAAATATTACAGCAAGTTGAACCCAAGTACAAATTAGTTTTAAAAACATTAAAGCATGGGAAAACAACATACAGCAGCCGAAGTTCCTAGCCGTCTCCGTAGAGAGCTCAGGTCTAGAACACCAGTTCTTACAAGGTGGTCTCAGGACCCCCAGGGGTCCCCCAAACCCTTTCAGGGTGTCTGTGAAGTCAACCCATATAAACCAAAGCTCTTTGGGGTCCTCAACCATTTTTAAGAAAGTAAAGGGGTCCTCAGACCAAAATGTTTGAGAACCACTGGTCCAGAATATAGGATTTGATTTTACATAATTTAATGTAAAAATGTCATAGTGGTAGACTTACATCGGTCCCTGTAAGCTTTGGCCACTTCTTTAAACTGCTGTAGATCCTTTGCACAATTCTCATTGGCATTCACGCCTTCCCGGACTCTGCAAGCGCCTAGCCTCTCCCGCATTATTTTCACAATTTCCTGGTCAACTTGTCTATGAAAGCAAGAAAACAGGCCTGGAGACTGCTGTAACACACATACTTAATCCTCTAGATAGCCATGCAAGCTCAGAACCCCTTTACTGCTACTTAAGGCAGCTGCGTTTTTTAAGGCTTCTGCACAAACCTGGAAAAAGATGCAGCTACTTAAATGAGTTCACTCATTACAACAGCAGCATCTTTTTTGGGCTCATGCATAAATCTGAAAGAGATGGCTCTTTTAATGAACACCACTCGGGTGCTGTGCTCATGTTGAGGTCTGAAGCACTTCTGAGTCTTTTTCAAAGCAGGCAGTCTTACTATTATACATACAGTGTTCTATCTCCAAAAACGTTTGCATTCATTAGATATTATACTGAAGATTGGATCGGCTGGGTGAGTAGAACTATGTTTTCACAGCTTTCCTTTACCAAAGGAACCACTTCTCATAATCCTGCCCACTCCTTTATGACGGCAGAGGAGGCC